TGTGGGCAAACAAGGATTTCAGTCCCTGGGAGAGCGATACTGTGTGGGCAACCCCTAAGCCAGCTCACTGATGCTACCAGAGTCAGTACTGCCTGGTGAGTTCTGGGGGTCTGTTCAACAGAAGCCCTGGGAGAGGTGCTCTTCACCATGTTAGAAAACAGACGTAGTTTCTGTTTGTGTTCTCTTTTGTTTTCTAAGAAATTGGCCAAATGTAGCCAAAAGAAAGGAGGTATCTTATTTCTTGTGGTTTAGTAGACAAATCCTTCCCCCTTTCCCCCTCTTTTTGGGCCTGTTTCATCAACAAGATTTAAAAAAAAAAATTGGGCAAGTTGATGTCAGAAACCTGAGATGCATAACCTGAAGACAAGTTATGCATCTCATGTTCCTAGAAGCCTGAGATGCATAACCCTCCCGTTGATCCTAAATGTAATTATATATAAATTGACTTTTTGAGACAGTGGTATTTTAGAGCTTCAATTGTATTTAATAAGTAGAACTTATAAAAGAAGCCTATCCCATATATTTTTTATGCAAATAACTACCCATTTAGATATCAGTCCTCTAGAAATATAAATCTTTGAATATCTTTTTTAGGATTTTTTTTTTAATCTGCATCCATCTAGTTAATTAGGTTGGATTTCAACCATACCCTCTCCAAGGATGAGAATTTGGAATGCATGTTTTGAGATGTTTGCTTTCTATGCAAGCATCCCTAAGCAAGTAGTTATTTCTCTGGTGATGAAGAAAACTACCATAGTATAGTATCTTGGTCCTCATAATATAAACCTAAAAGCCATTTGACCCATGCTTACGTCCCATTCCCAAAAATATCAGTCTCTTTGCCATATTTCTTTCATCCTTCTTGAAATTCCTCCCCCCTCTCCCGCTCTCCCCCCCCCCCCCCCCCCCCCAGCATCTTCTCTTATTGCTGGGACATTATCTGGCAAGTGAGTTGAACTGCTAAAGTAAAAGAAGGTCAGAATGATTTAGCATGCCTTAGAATAGTGGTTTTCCAAGCCTCATCCCAGGACCAGCAGCGTCTGGGAACATGCTAGAAAGGTCTCGCCCCATTAGAACTCTGCATGGGTCCCAGAATCCTGTGCTTTAACAAGTCCTCCAGAGAACTCGGAAGCGCCGCCTGGTTGGGGAAGCACTGCCTTGGAACACACAGTGTCAACTGCTCTGTAGAAAGAATCTGAGCGGCAGGTGGTAGATACTGGTTGCGGCCTAGGGAAGGAAGGACACTGAGCTACACAGAGGGGCTCTCACATCCCCCACGCTGGTAATTCCCACATCCCGTCCTGAGGAGGAATGAGGGCAGGAGCAGAAATGTCCGTCCGTTTCAGTAACGGTCCTTTCCACCTCACCCCTCATACCGATGCACGGAAGCCGCATGCCCTCTGAATGCTCCCCACCCGTGTCGAGGTGGGCCTCGCTTCCTGATAGTCAGAACCAGCTAACCCAGTGAAGAGCACGTGAGATTTTTGTTCTTCCAGTTCTTAAATAGAGAATCGAAAGGGATAAGAAGACCCATCACACATTCTTCTGTCGTATCAGTGAAGCCAGTTTCTCCCCCTCAATGCCACCCACCCTGTGTGAGCGTTTGACTTTCTTAACAAAATTTGTCAGTGTCCCAAGTACTGTAACCGGTCCATCCCTGAAGCTACACATGCAACCTCAAATATTACATCTTTCCCTTTGGTTTGGAAGCAGAAACATGGCTCTTGTATTGTAACCATAAACCGCCCACACACAACACAGTGTTTCAATAAACACTAAGTGAGTCAAGCTGCTCCATTTCAATAGGAGGGGTTCCTTAACGAAGCCCGTCACTGAAAGAGCAGCTGAGGGAAGCTCGGCACAAAACAAATAACTTTGCTCTGCTCAAAACACACTGTCTTATGAGGTGAATGTCCTTGGAAATTTGAATGGTTAGGAATCAGACCAATGAAATGAACCTTAACAATAAACCCCAAACGTTCCTCTGGTGTTGAAGTTGGCAGACATCTTAGCATTACTTAAGAAAATTCATGCTGAACAACTTCACACTCCTCCTGAATTGCTTTCTAGTTTTATATACAGACTAGAGGCCCAGTGCGTGAAATTCGTGCACTGGGGAGGGGGTTCCCCTCAGCTCAGCCTGCACCCTCTCCAACCTGGGACCCTTAAGAGGATGTTTGACTGTCAGACATCCCTCTCGCAATCTGGGACCACTGGCTCCTAACCACTCAACTGCCTGCCTGTCTGATCACCCCTAACCTCTGCCTGCCAGCCTGATCACCCCTAACTGCTCTCCTCTGCCAGCCTGATCGCCCCTAACCACCTCTGCCTCGGCCCCCTCAACCCTGGCTTTGTCCGGAAGGATGTCCAGAAGATGTCTGGTCTAATTAGCATATTACCCTTTTATTAGTATAGATTATTGGGGGGAGGGTATTGTTTTAGAAAGAAAATGATGTTCATTTCTTCCAGAAGATTTAGGGGCTCTGTAGGATTTTTTAACTACTAAGTGCATATATGGGTTACTTTTAGCTGAAGTGGGCATATTTTTAAAAAGTCATAATTATTTTGAGAGGATATGATAGAAATTTTCTTATTTTTTCAATCATGAAATCACCACTCAGGTATGCTGTTGCCATTCAATGGAAGGTCCTAGGGACTTTTGAAAAGCTCATAATGGATAGATTCACTGATTTATTTGAAAAAAAAAAAAAAGGTAGGATGAGCCAAAGACCATGCTAAGCTCTGGGATATAGTGGTGAATAAGACACAAAAGTCCTGGCACATGGCAGAAAGCCGCATCCTCCGGGTGCCCAGCCTTCTGGGGCTGCCTATTACCATCGTCTTTCTCTGGTCCCATCAGCGTGGTGCAAGGACTGGGGAGGAGGTTAATGAGAAGTTCCTGGGCCATCAAAGTTTTGAAATTTTTCTATTCTCTATTTCCAGTGTTGACTTCCTCCCTTCATTCTTAATCACTTAATTTCTGGTTTCTTTTACCTCCTTGCAGATCTGCATTATCTTACGACATCGGGTTTTATCCTCTTTGCCATTCCTTTGATCACATTTTTGTATTTTCAACCTCCCAGAACATATTCTCAGAGTCTGAATTACAAAAATGTGCTCTATTTACCCCACTTAATTTGGGATGCTATAGTAGAACTCCTTGCAGATTTGTTTTGTCCCACTTGTCTTCCACCAGGAGTAGATTCTGAGTTCTTAAAAATCATGTAGCATAATGCAGTACACATAGTAGGTGCTCAATAAGTAATGCAGGCAATGCATAACTGGAAGGCACGTTATAGGTCCTCTAGTGAGTCTCCTGTATCACATATGAGAAAACTGAGGCTTAGATATAGTTAGTGAGTTAATAATTGTACAAATTGGCTATTGGAGCTGGAATTACATCTTTTGACTTCTGATTCTGGATTCTTTCTGTACAAACTTAATGCTTCAAATAAGCCTCTAAGTGTTACATTTCCAGACTCATTGAACCTACTCATTGACCTGGCCTATACTCTAACCTGGTTAAACATCTTTGTTTGGGCACTTTTCATATATTTGTTTGCCCATTACTTAATAAACATTTATTCACTGCCTTCTACTCACATTATACTAAATGCTGAAGACATGTGATAAATATGGACTATGTGGTCTCTGCTCTCAAGGAATCTAATAGGAAGACACAGGCAATAATCTAGAAAATGAATACATAATTAAAAACGGGTGAGTACTATGAAATACACAAACATCATGAAGTGATTGGGATGGTAGTGGTCGGAAAGGGCTGAGGAAAGACATTTGAGCCAAGAACAAAAGGATCACAAAAGAACCCAGTTTGCATTCCTTTCCCTGTTTGGCTGTAGTCCTTGGTCCAAACTATCACGTGTGCATGAAACAATTTCCAGTCCACCATGCCACGCTGTATCCTACTTGTAACTGAATTTATAGTTTTAAGATGCACTTTTTCCCAAGTGAAATTCCCTAACTCCGTGGTCGGCAAACTGCGACATTCAAGAAGAGGTCTTTTCTGGGAGGAGAAGGGGACCAATGAGATCAATGGGAGAATTTTTATCAAGAAGAAAGATGTTAATTTATGGAATTTATTGAATTTGGTAGGTTATAAAAATCATTCCCCAAGATATTACATACGAAGCCAAGTACGCGCACAAAGACTTATTAACACATTTAGGAAATAAATGTGGGAGATCAGGAAATGAAGAATATTACTTGATAAAGTTGAGATTGTCAGTACAATAATATTACATTCTCATGAGTTTGTTTATTCAGCAACCTCAGCTATCGGAAACACCATTACCAACTAAAAAATGAGCAAAATTACTACTAATACTAAAAATTTTAGGACCCAAAATGGGAACAAGAGGTCATGCAATTTACTCTGGTGCTCAGATACTTGAGTACTCATCCTGAGCCTATTGACAATTATTGTAGAGAACTCCAAAAACCTTGATCCTCTGGTTTTCTGCCAATTAGATGTCAATAGAGAACAAATTGGAGAAAAAGCAATTGCTCAAGTTGATGAGAAATGATCACTAATATCCTGACAATGAGAGAAAACAAAAGGAAGATATTACATAAAGGAAAATAAAAATTCAAAGCCCCTCGTTCTCTAAGGCCTATCATTGGTTCCTAGACTATACCTTATAGTTACACAATACAACTAACCCTCTGTGATCATATGCTATTGGTTAAGCATATGCAGACTATTTCAGATGGTTGTTCAATGACTTAATATTTGCACTGCTGTTGGGAGGGATGACTTATGTTTTCAGAAAGATTTGCATATGAAAAACTCCTCACTTTTGTTTTAAAAAATGATGGGTGAATGAAAGCTAACAGTATTAAAATTACCACAGGTGGCAACCACGCCTGCTGGCCTGTCTCTGCATGAGCATGTGGGCAATGGCTCTTCTTCAGTGTCTTTGGGGCAGCCTTCTGCTAGATAGTCTACCTGTTTCTTTACCTCTCTCTTTCTCTCTTTCTAGCCGGAGACCACCCCCATCACCAACTCGTCCCACTATAATCCGTCCACTAGAATCCTTATTAGACTAAACGGAGTGTCTGGCATGGCAGTTAATTACTAACGAATTGTATGAAAGCAACATATTTGATAACCATTGCAGTAAATCATGAGTAGTCGCATGTGTGGACATCAGTAGACAAGTAACCAGTTTTACTAATGCATCTGTCACTCATCTGCATTGCTCATGGTATGTCAAACCATTGGGGTTTGACTCTTGGAAACTGCTGACCCTTCGAGCCTTCCTATGTTGTATCGACCAAGGTAGGTTTGTATGGCAGCCCTGTACCTTGGGGACAATATGCCTACACTGGCATATATTTGAAATTTCTTTGAACAAGAAATTTCCCAGGTTACTTTCCAGATAGCCCATTAAATATAATTCTTAAGAGAGATCAGATGGTGGGCTTAGACCTAAGCCATACACATTTATTGTGCCACGTTCTGTTTTGGCTGACAGAAATGGTATTGTTTAGTAATGTTTCTATCTACTCCATAATTACCTTTTTAGATCCATCCCTTCCTCTTTATTTCATAAGACTGCTGGGAAGTGATTTTTTTTTTTAATTGGGATTTCTTAAGAATAAAGCTTTTCCAGAAGCGTGAGGTCATTCTCAAAGGAAAAGTTACTGCCTTGGTTGCTCCAGAGGGCTTCCCCTCATGCCAGTGTGTTTGGTTTCATGCTAGAAGCACATTCAGCAGTCAGCGACTCAGAGCTTGTTTTTCTGTAGGCAGTCAATAGATTTTACTAGAATTCAGGAAGAAGCAAAATATCACATCTCTACGAACATCTGGAAAATGTATTTTCTTTATTCATTTATATAATCACTTCCTCCTAGGTCACAGTGAGGCAGACATGGAAAATATCTTTTTCTTTTTCTTTTCTTTTTTTTTTTCAGATTCATCTAATTTTAGGCATTGCTGATTACACTTTGACACTAACTCCAGTTGATTTACTTATTATGTTGGTTGGTGCAAAAATATTCCTGTTGATATGTAATTCTCTTACGTAAAAATGTATCCCACCTTTAAAACAAACTTAAAGCAACTTTCTATCCATTCTAGGCTTTCTTCACAAATGGTGAGCCTCACTATGGGATAACCATATTTAAGGAGTGGAACCTGGAATAAAATGAAAAGTCACTTAGACAACTTCAGAGTCTTTATCCAGGTCATTCCAGAAAATGGCATTAAGACATTGAGATTCAAAGCAAATGGGCAAATTGAAACGTTTCTGAAATTTACAAGGGTCCTTTCACCTGGGGGTTAATAGTTCAGTCTCGAGGCAGAGTTTCGATGACCTAGGACCAGATGATTAGCACATAGGAAACGGCCAGAAGCCAACTGGAATTTTGTCTGCTAACTGTTCCCAGACAGCAGACCAAGTATTCACTGGACGGCGGTGTCCCGAGACTCTAGTTCATATTCTGCAGAAGTAAATCAGTTTTCACCAACTGAAATGTCTCGCTTTGAAAGTAGCAAACATGATTTGTATGTTAACTTAACTTTAATTTCCTGTGTAGTTTATACCCAAAGCAGGCACCCATAAAGTATGAAGTAAAAACTTTCAACCATTATTAAAAAGAGAACTCGCCAAGCTAAATGGCATTGTTTTGAACTTATTCTAAAAGGTTACAGCTAGCCCACTTAAGCAAAACTCAGAGAGTTCAAGATTCATAAAAAGGGCATTTTTGTCTCTTAAGTTGTGTGATTGTATAAAGATCACCACCCTAAATCTTCTTATATCTTTCCTTTTCCATTGGAAAAAATATTATTAACTCTCTGTGAAGGAAACATGTTCTCTTTAAAATAGTGTCACAGCTAAATGGAAATATACTAAGTAAACATTCATGGTAAAATAATCTACAGTAAAATATTTTTACAAAAATCCTCTCTTTTAAGGATTCCCTTTGCTTCTTCCTTTGAATTCTCTGAAATAGGCAGCTCCCAGAACATATACTCCAGGGTTTGGCTTTGTGCTCCATGTGGTTTTGCATTTTGCTGTATTTCAAAAATGTCCTTCTGTTAAAGGAAAATATTGTGGATAACCACAGGCGTGTTCTTAGATCAGCACAAGCCGTGTCAGAGAAAATGGGAGATTCTTTTTCCAAGTTCCTTTCCCCTGATCCTATGCAGTCATAAACAATGGCACTCGTCCTCTTTGGCCCTTGCTCTCAGTATAATCACACAGTTTCACTGTCCCAACTGTATCTCTTTGTGGGTCTATTTTTCTTCTAGTTATTCTAGTTCGAGTGATTTCTGATGAGACCTGCCCTCTCCTGGAATTTCAGTTGTTGTGTTAGAGAATATGTTTATTTTGCTACAGTGTGGCATGCTTAGCATTAATGCCTTTTCCCAGAGTTTTGCATCCCGCTAAAGGGAGGTGTCAATGTGAATGAAGCGGGTGTTTACAGTCTGAAGTACAGTGTTCCTATCCAGCCGTAAGGTGGGAGTGTAGCTCAGTGAGCTTCCTGAGTGTTTTCCATTCCACTTCAGGTCTGTTGTAACTTCCTCCGAACCCTGATATGGTCTGTGTGATAGATGGAACTTCGTCATGTCTAGCATAACAAAATAAAATACACAGCTTTTTAGGAATTGGAAAAATAAACTGTCTATTTGATAGGTCAGTCTATTTTATTATCACATGCTAAATCTTGCATGCTTATTGACTAATTTGGAATAAACATTTACTCAACTATGGACAGATTATTGAAATAGTATTAATTCAGAACAGTATATTGCATTTCCAGAAATCATCTACCCCAAATTACTCTCTGATTATTGCTTTTATCGATAGCTGTGTTTTATAACATAGAAGAGCAGTGGGGTCTGTTTATTAACAAATGGCCTGTGTGTTCAGATATAAATTCATCTATTCCAAAACATTGTCATGAAACCAGTTTCTGATTTAGGATTAAAATTTTAGGATTAAAAAGTAGTGCTATAGATTAATTTTATGGCTTTTTAGTATAGCATCAGTCATAATTCTCAATTACGAAATGGGACCTAATACCAGTATGTGGTCAATGTTGATGTTTTCCGTGTACAAACACCTTTTCTATGCATGTGTCTTCATGTGTAACAGTATACACACAGTTTGTTTCTGTAAGTACCTGTATTCTGTGCCCCTTTGGATAAGTAGGTTTAAAAGCCCTTGTTAAAATGCCACAAGCATGAGTGTGATTGTATGTGCACTGTATGTATGTGTATGGGTATAAATATGTATGTATATATGTGCTTTGTATGTGTGGATCTGAATCTATTTTTTAAACTGTGCTAATACAAGAGGTAGCTTTGGAGAGTCTGCCATAATATGTAACAACAGTGGTCCATTTCTCAGACAGTATGTGAGGCATACAAAATTTTATCCAGATTGTATTCATGCTGAGAGGCACAAAGTTAAGAGATACCATGACAATATGCTGGAATAACATCGACAGGCATTTGTATCTAAATCACAGCATTGCTGTCTAAGAAGAAATAACACCTGGAAACCTACCTTTAAGATCTCTAATTATCCTTAGGTTGCTGAACTGACTCTTAAACAGCTAAGTTGGTCTACATAGTCATATTTTCTTTCTAGCAAAGAAATAGAGGGATACAGTAATGTAATAAAAGCAGTGGATCTCTCTGAATAAATTGGCTAAAAATGCAGAAGAGACATTTTTAATATTTTGGAGATAGGTCACCGATCCCGTTTTTCAAGTGAACACTTTTGTATTTGGAATTTGAAATTAACAGGAATCTCCTTAACATTGAGACTAAATCGTACATACATAAATCTCTATTTATGGAACTCAATGAAAGGAGATACTATGTGAAACTCAAAGCACGAGATTTGTACCATTTCACCCAGAGGACTGCTAGCTCTGAACTGAGAGTTGAATGTGAAGCTAGATGATTTTCAGAGAAACAATTGTGAGTTCACTCAATCACTCAGTCCTTTCTTAAAAGCTCAAATGAGTCTTCTAGGTAATCTTAAGTCATCCTGTCTAGTTGGTGTGTTTAAAATTATGTGGTGCTCTGTATTCTGAGCTTTAAGACTATTTTTGAAGCATATGTAGTATAAGCTTTGCTCTCGGTATATATGTGTAAGAATGTGTGAATGTGTGAGAATGAGAGAGGGAAAGCTCAAGGACAGTCTCTTGTTTGTCTCAAGACCTGTTCATTCTGGTATGTTCCTGAGACCTTTCACTTCTCTGATCTGGGTTTCTCGCCTGGATCAGCTCAAGGCATCTATTTCTCTAATTTTCATCCTTGAATCCCTCCAATTTTGCTCATTATGTAATGTTTTGAAAGTTATGGTAAAAATTACTCTGTCTAACCTCTTGCATTGTCTACTGCCAATGTGATAAAAATTATTCCTGCCAACCAGAAACTTCACCATGACTGCAGTGGAGTTGGATTTCACGTGTACAGTCTGTGTTTTTGCTTGCTTGTCTATGTTATTTTTACTCCCCCTTTTAAATCAAATTCCTCTTTTGCCTTTTTATGAAGAAGCAGTGTACAGAAGCAAAATCTTGTCTCTGCTGTTGTCTTTGATTAATTTGAGCCAGAATACTTTCCACTGTCTTCTTGGCACTTTGGGGTTTCTGAATGCTGGTATATGGATGGACTCTGCAATGGAAAATTCGAAGCCATTTCCTAAAGCCTGTATCAGTCGTGAAGGTCACATGTACCTGTTGTGAAAATGTGAAGCTGTATTTCTGAACCTGAAATAAATGATAACATTTGAAGGACTCCCCCTTCCTTTTTTTGTATGTATTCAAGTCATTTCTATGCATAACACTGAAGATCTGAGACTTGTAAATATTTCTAATGCTTTTGATCGAATTGGCCCAGAATTACCAACATGGAGAATAGCATTTTGGCATTACTGTCATTAATTCAGGGAAAAACGAGATTTTTAAAGGGAACAGCAAATGGGAAAAATCAAAGGCAGGAGAGTGGGAGACATTTATTCCTGATTTGAAGTCATTGTTGGACTAGATTCGAGAAGGGCCCAAACCTTAGACAGCTGGGAAGTGTGACGTGACACCTGCCAAGAGGCACTGTGATATTTTGCTACTGCAAAGGAAGTGTTCACGAAAAACCCTGGGAAGCAGAGGGAAAAATACTTTGCCCATATGTCAGGTCCACAGAAGGTATGTCTTACAGAAAATACTGAGTTCCTGACTCAATAGTTGGCCTCCATCGTTTACCCACTGGGAATTAAGGGGACAAGTTAGCCCCTTTCCGTTGTTTCCCCAAGGTTAAGACAATGGAAGAGTGTTCAGTAGTCACCCACATCCTCGTCCTCCTGTGTTTCCAGAGAATAAAAGACTCATCATTCAGAGTTTTGAGAATTGGTCCCTTACCAACACACATAGTCCCAGATTGTGCTGTCCAAAAGCAGAGACAAGAGGGAGTGGGATGGGTGGGGGGCAGGTGCTAGTTTACTCCCCTTGTGTTCAGGATCCGCTCACAGTGAAAAGATGAATTGGAAAGACTGTTGTGCTGATTCTTGCTGTCCTGCGGTTATTTCCCTCTCACACCTCCCACACATGGATCAGTCACTGCCTTCACAGGCAGCTGCTTACTGGAGAGGGAGCCAGGATGAGAGCCGTGTTGTGCATGTGTGTGGGGTGCTGTGCAGGTGAGGGGGTGTGTGTGTTTTACTGCATGATTCTTCATTCAGAATAGTTTCTAATAGAAATTACCAAAACCATGGGACCTTAGTGTAACTCTGTGACAAATTTCCACTTTTATTTTTATAATAGTACTGGCACCCGTGTAAATACAATACCTTCTCAGTTCTCCCAGAATCTCGTTTTTCCTCCAGGAATCTTTGAGTTGCATACTGAGAAACTCACCAGGTGTTTGGGTGAGATGGCGGTGGTGCCTTCCTTCCTGGTACAGCCCTCACCTACCCAGGTCACTCTGAAGACCATCTGTAGTGATCTGTCCCCACTGTGATGCCTCATACCTAGAATACATGCAAGCGATGTTGGCCGAAGTTTCCCAGTTGGCAAGTTTCCCATGAGCTTGTAATGTCTTACACACACATGGGTTTCTTGGTTAAATGAAAATTCGATTATGTGTTGTTGTTGTTTTTCCCGGAGGACTGTACGGATATTGGGTTGCATCGTGAGCCTCCAGGAGAGGGTTGGTGTCTCCATGTTTCTCAGGCTCGCTTGGCCGTTGATGCTCTGTTCACAGAGCGTTTCACAGGCTGGCGGGAAAAGGCACGGGGTGTGCTCAGCCCAGCAGAGACAGTCACCTGTGAGAGCGGCCAGCGCTCCCAGCGTAGGACCGTCCTACTGGAGCTCTGGTGCTTTGTCCTAGGAGTGTTTGGACCTGAGCGGGAAGGTCACATGGGAACAGGCGGCAGGAAGCACGAGAGGTGCGCGCAGTGAGTCTTAGCAAGCCTTGTGGAGGATACAGATAACTTCCAATACCTTTTTCTCTCTCGCTCTCCAAACAAGAGCTCCTTCAAAAATTCCACCACCCCTGCTGTATTCTCATAAAGGGAAGGATCAAGGCTGATTTCAAATGAAAGATCCTCAGAGAAGAATCGAGAAGGAGGCCTATTTGCATGGCCTTTCTTGTCCCACTTGCCCAAGACTTCAGGCTCCCTGCTGCTCTAGGATGTTAAGTTCCCTGAACGATGGGCCAGGAAAGCAAGCAGAGAAGGTTTTGTGAGATTGTGACAGAAAAGAAAAATGTCCTGAGGAAGATCTTGCCGGGGGATCTTGCCACAGGAATGTCACTGTGAGGCTGGATGGCAGCCCCGAGGCAGATGGGAGAGAATCGAGGTGACTCATCACTCTCACTGATACTTGGGGGTATTTTCTGTATGAATTATGCCATGTTCCATACTCAGCTTTTCCTGTCTCCTCACCTTCCTGTTCTGGCAGAACAATTCTGGGAAGTTATTTTTCAGAAAGCTTAAGAAGGTAGAACCTAACATTATATAATCTTGGTTAAGTCGATGAACTCACATGTTGAAATACTGCCATGAGGGCCTTTGAAATTTGTTAGCTACTCAGTGTTCAAATAAAGTCCTCCAACTTTTATTTCAGAGGTGGCAGCAGTATCAGGTACCTTTGAAACTCTTGATATAAAAGGTCCAAATAGTCTCAGGACTTGCCTTCAAGCACTTCAGCATGGTGCCGCAAGCAATATATAGAAAATAACAGAAAGGAAATAGCAGAACCCACACTACTGTGATCCACCACCTAACAGACTCCGAGGGGAAAGTTAGACCCGGGATATGTGAAGAGGAAAAGACAGAGTTGTTTGAGGGGATAAACGTCATTCTGAGGTTGGAAGCAAATATTCTCCCTATTGGTGAAATATACAGGGTGTCCTCCAAAAAAGGTATACACACTTTAACAGCTCATAGCTCAATTGATGTTTCTGTCTTTTCAGATTTAACCCATATTTTGGGGGATTACCCCGTATTCCGAAACAGGGAGTTTCTGGCCCTGTGTCTGGGTTAGAGCACCAAAGTAACTCCAACAGAAAAGGACTGTGGCAAATGCAAACAGAATGTCCCTTCAGCTCTGGGGACCCGCTGCTCGGTTTAATAGCTCACCTTCCCACCCTGCTGAGGTCATTAAAATGTCCCAAAGCCCTCCAGAACACAAACATAGTTTGTTTGCTGGGCAGGTAATAAATCTCATTGAGCCTGCCTGGAATTTGATTCCTCTTTCTTCATGAAAACACCAGGGACACCCATTACCTGGATTTCCACAGCTCAAGGCTTGCAGACACCACCACCCCCCCCTCCTCACTTAAAAGGTTAGGTACCAAAGACAAGTTTATTTGGATGTGAGGCCTCTTTAGTGTAGGCAACTTAAATTGGGCCAAAGAAAAAATGGTCTTGAACTTGGGGGGACGGGAGGTCTTTTTTTTTTTTTTTTTTTTTTTTTTTTTTTTTTTTTTGACTACTGCTCAGAAATAGCCCCATCATTTTGGCTCCTTAACATCTTAGAGAAGATGAAAAAGAAGTTTGTTTTTGTGTTTGTTTTTTTTGTAGACCTCATTGCTCCACTCACTGAAGTGTTACGAGAGTAAGACGGAAGTGAGTATGTTGTTGAACATGTAGCCCCAGAGAAGTCCCGCAGAGGGTAGGGCGCCGGACCGAGCTAACCTCCCGGCTCATGGCTTGTGGTAACGTTGAGTCTGTTCCCGATTTGGTTAGAAAGAGGAAACTGAAGTGTAGATACTGGCGGAAACCAGAGCCATGCCTGGTGCTGGAGACCTGACTGGACCTTCTCCAGCCGTGAAACACCCAAAGAGGCTGATGTCTAAATGAAGCACGATGGACCAGGCCTCACCTGGTAGTTTTCCTCGGCCCGGAAAGGCTGTCAACATCAGGATATTATCCACCTGCAGCAAATTCGTACTTGCAGATCCTTTCCTCCAGCCCTGACATGTTCTGCGTTGTGATTACATAGCTCATTGGACCTTTTGACACCTTCTCATTTGACATCATCTTGGGGGGGAAAATGTCACCTGTCATATTTCTATATCAACTCCCTCCCCCCGCTATGGAGATGGCACAGCATTTATGGAAATCTTTGGAAATCAGGGAGTGTCCCAAAGTCAAGGTGGGAGACAGATGCTTGAGTCCTGAAGGTATTTGGCTCTAGTACTGTGCCCAGTTCTCCTGAATGCGATTGCATGGAATCCTCATTACATGGCACCGAGTAAGATTTTGGAGTGGACTCAAATGGCTCGTATCTAGCACACTACTGATCGCCAGAAAAAAATCCTGGGAATGGCTAACTGCCACACGGCATTCTCCCGTGTCCCCCATGTGTCTGCATGATTTTTCGGTCTAATTTGGACTTTTATGGGATAATTTGCATGTTCTTATTTGGATTTGTTTTGTAACTCAAACATAGTTTGCTTCTTCTGCATTTGTGTGTGTGGTTGGTTTTTTCTGTGTGTGTGTGTTATTTGTTTTGTTGTTTTGTTTTCACTAGGCGGCCCCCTCCTGCCGTTCCAGGACGACCATCTTAACCCCATCATCCATCTCCTTTCATTCCCAGCAGCATGTCCATCGTGGTGTTTAAAAGCCTTTTGTTTGCACTAAATGTTATATGTACATAAAAACTTTTATTTTTGATCCATGTCTATAATAAAAACAAAGTTTATTCTATATATTTTAAACAAATGAAATGTGTCCTGTTTCTTTTTTTTCTAAAGAAGAATCAAATGGGGGGGGGGGAAAGAGAGTTTGTTTCAACTAAAACCAGGTAAGGTAAAAAATACGTAATTTGCTCTTTTAAGGAGCTTAACTTGAAAAACAATTTATTTTAAATTCTTAAAGCATGGCGATTTAAGATGCTATCTGATGTGAATGATAATCTCTCTTCGATTGAAATGTCTGTTCAATAAAAGTATGAAAAGATGCAGTAAACCTCCTGGGTGTCTAGAAGAGAAAGCAGATTCATTTCAACCTGTCTCCAAGGATCCCATTGATAATTATTGCATAAAAACAGCTTTCTGTGCCCGGCCGGCGTGTCTCAGTGGTTCAGCGTCAAAACTATGAACCAGAAGGTCATAGTTCAATTCTCAAGGCACATACCCGTATTGCAGGCTCGATTCCCGGTGTGCTCCCTTCCTCTCTGAAATCAATAAAAATTTATATTTTTTAAAACAGCTTGCTATTTTTTGTTATTTTTTCTAAATATTATTGTAGAAGATAAAATATGTAAGATCATGGAAGAAATTGTAAGTCCTAAACATA